CCCTCCCGCATGAGCCCTTGATAGTTTATAAATGGGTATTTTGTCATATCTTGCCCTGTCCGACGTCAAGGAGAAAGCTTTTTGACGCAATATGGATTGCATACAAAATCGGCATTTGTATGCAATTATGTGGGCTCTGATGGCATGATTGGTGGGGCTAGAGGCTGGTTTTAGAGATGCACAAACTTACACAGGTTCCCATCAGGCAACAGCATGTATTATAGCTGGCCTAGCAGCTTCCCCGGAAGCCTGAGCAGCTGATGCTCTGGGTCGGTTGTTATGTCCCTGGGTCGTGAAAGGACTAAGAGGTTAAGAGTGCCGTTCAGAGCCAGAACTGCCACCCTTCAGCTTCACACCCATTGCTCTTTCCTCTGTGCCACGGTGCTGAAATGAATGGGCTATAGGTACAACCCAACCACCTACTCATCCATTATTCTGTCATGCAGCTATGCATAATTTGAGAAAATAGAGGGTGTAAACTGAGAGGAACTGCTAATAGTGATGAAATATACTCCTTTGTAAAAACATCACCAAAGTTATAGATAAGGGGAGAGTCTTGGGCAAGAATAAGAGGGGGCGAGACAGTAATATGAGAGAAAATGATACGCAAAATAGCTTATTTCAAGAGTTTTAATTTCCTTTCTCTTTGAAGGTGAATGCTGAAATATTAGACATGGCAGCCAATGCATTTGATGATGAATACCTGAAATGCACTGACAGAATGGAGATCAAATACGTCCCCCAACTGCTCAATGAGGAAAAAGCAAGCCACCAGCTCTTGACAACTGTGTGGGAAAATGCCAGAACCAAATGGGAAGCTCAGAAGACTCGGCTCGTTCTCCCGGAGAGTTTTAAAGATAACCATGGAGTAGCCCTGATGGCATATATTTCTGAAGCTCAAGAACAAACCCCCTTTTACCTCATGTTCAACGAAGCCGTGAAGATGGCGGGCCAGTCTCGGGAAGACTACATCTACAGTTTCCAGTTCAAAGCGTTTCATTTCTACCTGACAAGAGCTGTGCAGTTTCTGAGGGGCCCTTGTGAGGACTCTTACCACACTGTGGTGTACGCCAAAAGCCAGGGCGCGTCGTTTCTGTTTGGAGGGCTAAACCAAGCCAGGTTTGGCCACTTCACCCTGGCTTATTCAGCCAAGCCCCAAGCTGTCAATGAGCAGGATAGCCTGCTCGTCATCAACACATGCTTTGGCGTTTCCGTTGAGAAGTTTTTGGATAAAGAAAGCAAAAGAACTGTTTTAATTCCTCTGAATGAGGTGTTTCAAGTGTCACAGGAAGAGAACAGCAATAGTCTTTTTCTTCGAAGCACAAACAAAACCTGCAGCCACTACGAGTGTGCATTTCTGGGCGGTGAGTGTCTCTGTGCTGTCTGCGTGTGTCTAGGAGTTGCGGGCGTGGGATGCTGACGCAGAGGGTGAGGTCAAGGAGGAGGAGGCAGAGCTGTGCCACATATTTTTTCCATGGCCCATCCAGTGGGTTTAACTGCCAGTCTTTTGGTTAACATCCTGATGCTTCACCACTGCACCACCAGGCCCCCATTTCCATTGGTTAGTGGTCCTTCATGCTCTGGTGGCGTAGTGGATGCATGTTGGACTACAGTCTGAAAGGTCAGCATTTCAAAACCACCAGCTGCTCTGCAGAAGAAAGATGGAAATTCCTTCAAGAGTTACATCTCAGACTCTCGGGGCAGTTCTACCCTGCTCTGTAGGGTGGCTGTGTGTCAGAATTGACTTGCTGACAGCAAAAAAGAGCCCCTGATGATACGGTCTGATCCGCAGTGACTTTCAAAAGCCCCAGCAGCTCAGCAGGAGAAAGATGGCAGCCTCGACAGTTGCAGTTGGGGTGGGTCCTATGAGTCAGAATGGTGGGGTTTTGGTCGGGGTTATTCTCTGTCTAGTAGAGAGCTGAGTCATAGCTGAGTCAACATTGTATTTCCTTTCATAAGTGCCTCCCTTACCCCAAGGCTGTTAGTTGTAAAGGTGACCCTGTGAGTTGTGGCAAGCTGCTAACTGGAAAGTTAGTGGTTCAAACCCAAAGTGGCTGGGCGGTAAAAGGGGTCCTGTGTGCTCCCATATGGAGTTGCGAAGAGTAGGAACCGACTAGATGGCAGTGAGTTTGAATGTTTGAGTTTTGAGAGAAAGATGAAGTGATCTGTTCCCATGAAGATTGACCGTCCCAGAAACCCTCTGTGGGCTTGCTAGAGGTCAAGGTCAACTCGGTGGCGATGACTTTGGAGGGTTTTGTTAGTTTGCTTTATACGTTGTGTGATTTGTTTGTTTGTTGTTTCCTTGGTGTTTATATTCCATCGTTAATTCTACCCTAACCACTTGGATCCCAAACCCACTGCTATCAACTCTATCCCAACTCATAGCCCCCCTGTAGGATGGGGTAGAACTATCTCTTGGGGTTTCCAAGGCTGTAAATCTGTACAAATTCGGACTGCCTCATGCATGAGGTCAAAGTCATTATGCAAATGCATACTGCCTCGCCCATGAGGTCAAAGTCATTTGTGGGGGCATTCTGATTGCAATGACAAAAGTAAGCGCTGCTGTCCATTTGATGAAAGGTGCCCTGGTGGACCCTGTCAGGTAAGTGATGGGCTGCTAACCACATGGGCAGCTGTTTAAGCCCCGCAGCTGCTCAGTGGGGTAAATGTGACAGCTCCCAAACCCAATTCAATTGTCCTGTGAGTCAAAACCGACATGATGGCAATGGGGTGGGTTGGGTCTGGGTTCGTTTGATGGGCATAGAGGGGTATAGGAGCCCACAGAGCCCATGTGGTGGCAGGGGTAGTGATTCTGAATGAGTCCAGGCTCCATCCGACCCATGTGAAGTTCATCTGAACCCCCTCTGAGGAAAGGGGAGATGGGCAAATGGCTGTGGGCCTGCCAGTGTTCGATGATCCAGTAAACAAAAGCAAGCATAAGCTTACTTGCCTTTACTAATCTGTAGGGAATAATTTCACATATTTTCATTACATCTGTGGGGGAAAAACTAATTTTTCAAAACAGGTTAGCAATTAAACACAAGTAAACCCACATTTCCCAAGCGTATGCTTATTAGGAAATCCACCCATGGGCCTTGCGGGTTCAGGCAGCTTCTCGCAGCCACCAGGAAGAAAGGCCATTTTGTATCATTTGTTCAGAGGCTGGGACAAGATCTCAGGAACCCTAGAGTGGTGTCAACCTAAAATACAATCCTCGATTGCCATCTAGAGATGACAAATGGGAATGCAGGGTCAAAATTCCCTGAACACTGGTCAAACAGACCTGGGGTTTTAAAGGATAAGCCAGAAGATTAGAATCAGAACTTTATCCCTTTTGATGCTCCTCATGCACTAGGCCATGAAATATGACTGTACCTCTGAATGATAAAAAGATAATATTGCTAAAATACACACACACATATATGTATATGGCCATTAAGAAACTGGTGGGAAAATTTCATTATCGTTTAATTCCATTGTTCTCTGAACTTGAGAAGAAGTCCCAGGGTCACAATGGTTAAATATCAGGCTGCTAATAACCACAAGGTCTGAGTGTCAAACCCACCAGCCACTCTGTGGGTGAAAGATGAGGCAGATTTAAATTTATGTGGCCCTTTCAGGAAAAAAAAAACTACTCAAGCGCCCTCTGACAAATTGAAAAGTTTTGTACTATAGTCCATAATCCAAGATGAAAGTACAAGGTCTGCTTTTGCAGCCTCTCTGGATCATTCCAGCGCCCCCACCCCACCCCAGGGGTCAGAATCGATCACAGATTTGCAGTCTCAAAAACCCTAGTCTGCCCCATCAGGGGAAGGCCGTGGGCTTGCTCTTCTTTCAGAGGGAGCTCACTTGTGCCGAGTAAAGCTGCAGTGCATGGACTCTTTTGGAAATGGGTGGGTTCCACCACTCTGGGGCTATACGTTTGCATGAACTGTATATAGTCCATTGAACTGGTTTTTGCTTATTCTTGTTTCATATACAGACGCTTATCTGCCATGTCAGTCATGCTGTAGATGTTTGGTTTAATGTGTGTACATTTTCTTGTTTCTTCCATTGGTTTCGCTTATACTAAGCCCCCCCACTCCTCCGCACCCCTGTTGCTTTTCCTCAAATGTCTGATTAATCCTGGCTGTACTTCAGACTAGCTTGATTGGAGACTACAGTAAGGCTGGGCGGTGATGCTGGGGGTGGGAGATCGCTTCTCGGCCTTTTGGCTAAGATCAAGTGTAGTATCTGTTCCTATCAGTTTAATATCTGATACGTCCTCTATCCGAGGACAATATATTAAATGGATTTTTGGAACAGGGAGATGGAATAGGAGCTTGCTCCATCCACTCCATGCATCGACCTGGTATTCCAGTACTTCCTGGAACGGTGCACCCCCTCGGGGGACAAGAAAAAAAAAAACCAGCCGAATCTGTAGGCCCTGTCTCTTGGGCTGACCAGTTTCCTCCGAGAGTACTTTTGGTTTGAGAAGGGGAGAGAAGTCGTCTGTCCCTTGGGAGGGCGTTTTGGGAGCTGAGAGGAAGAAGGGTCTAGGCCGGTATGTGGGCTCTCACTTTCCCCTCGCCTTTCACGCAGGCCTTTTCTTCCCTGGGCTAAATTTCCCGAGTCCCTAGCTTTGCTGGTTCGTGACCTGCCAAGAGTAAGCTTTATTCCAGTCTGTCAAGGTCAAGGAAAACCGTTTAAGATCTTGTTCGTTATACAGGATTTTACCCATTCCTTATATCTCGAACCCCAGCCTTTCTGGAATTCTGCGGCAGCAATCAGCTGCCTTATATGATCGGCGTCCTTCCTCCCTGGCTTCATTAAATCGTTTATTCTCTCTTCCATCTGCTTTCCATCTTCCAACATTAATGTAACATTTGTGCCATAAGAGGTTGTCTCATTCATTCATTTTGCCATATTTATCCCTTTGTGGTGCTTTGGTTCAGGAGGAAGCAGAGCGTAAACCTAAATATTTAGACAGACCACCATGTTAAGTAGGATTCCTAGTTGGTGTGGCTTTTGCATTTTGTTTTTATCTCATGCAAAATCTAGCCATTTCAGGTTCTGCTGACTTCTGGCCACACTTGCCTCAGTGGTAGCTGGGCTGCTGTCGGAGTTAACCAGTTGTATGGGTGTGATTTCTTTGCTGATGGATCGGTGTTTTCTCAACGATTCACTCTTTCTGTGTTGTCCCTGCTACTCAGGAATATCCTGAGATGGAGTACATTTGAGAACTTCTGACCTGGCTCTTTCCAAGGTATTCTGGGTAAGATGAGAGCCTCAGTTTGGTGCTCCACAGGAGAGGACTTCCAAAACCGAAAGACAAACCCCCTGCCGTCCGGTTGATCACTTTCTCATAATAGCCCTGTCGAACAGAGTAGAACTGCCCCTGTGGGTTTCTGAGACTGTACATCTGCACAGGAGGAGAAAGCCCCATTCTTTTTCCTCCCATCGAACAGCTAGTGGTTTTGAACTGCTGACCTTGCAGTAAACCCCTACACTACCAGGACTCCTTAAAGGAATGGACTTAGGGCCTGGAAATGATGTGGGGCAACGGAAACACTGGATAGAGACTGCAGGCCCCGGTCATGGCCTCTTGTGACTTTCACGAACTGTGGGGCTTTCCATGATTATTCAAATTTAAGACTGTGTATTCTTATAATAAGGGGGGTTGAAGTAGATGATCTTAAATTCTTCCTACCTCTGAAATTGTATGACCCTGACTTATTTTTGCTTTATGTGATGAACTATTTCATTATAGAGAATGATTTAAATAATATATGTGCATTTGCAAACAAAACCAAATGAATAGTGATAAACTTGCTACCCAGCCCAAGAAGAGAAATATTGTGTGTAGTTTTACTCTACTCTAACATCACATGATATTCTGTTGTTTGAACACAATGGTCCATAGACATTTGGATTGTTCTAATGTTTTGTTACTATTAACAATGTTCCTATGCACACAGATTTTTCTACTTATATTTTTTTTATTTAAATATAATTCAAATTCTTTATACTTGAACATAGCAATGTTTTCATTTTTAACATTGTATATAATTGTTATCCATAGAACTAAAGTATATGAAAATCATAACAATAGCTATATAATCAGTAATTGTGCTAAAATGAAGGCCAAACATATAGATTATGAAATAAACATATGAGGGGACTACAAAAAGTTAAGGGGGAAATTACATTATCTTTCTATTTCATTTTTGCACAAACTTTTTGAAGTCCCCTTTACAATATTTTTAAAATTACATATAGTTTTAGTTTACAAATCATACAATTCAATAGTGCAGTCATATTAAGAAGAGTTGTACAATCATCACCATAGTCAAGTTTAGAGTACTTTATTCTCATAATCATTGTTATTAGCTCCCCACTTCTCCCAGCTTCCCCTACTATCCCCCCAAGAAGCCATTAATCCATTTACTGTCTCTGTAGATTTACCTATCCTGAGTTTCATATACAGAAAAATATACCAAAAATGACAGAGAGGAAAAACTTCAACCAAAAAGAAAGTAGAAAATATCAAAAACTAGAACAAATTAAAAATGGGTTAAAAGGAAGATCAAATGACAAGGTGTTAAAGTGTGTGTGTGTGTGTGTGTGTGTAGATGTTATTAAAGGTGTGTGTGTATGTAGAAGATGTTATTAAAGGTGCGTGTGTGTAGAAGATGTTATTAAAGGTGTGTGTGTATGTAGAAGATGTTATTAAAGGTATGTGTGTAGATGTTATTAAAGGTATGTGTGTAGAAGATGTTATTAAAGGTGTGTGTGTGTGTATATAAGTTATTAAAGGTGCGTGTGTGTAGAAGATGTTATTAAAGGTGTGTGTGTATGTAGAAGATGTTATTAAAGGTATGTGTGTGTAGAAGATGTGATTAAAGGTGTGTGTGTGTACATGTTATTAAAGGCATGTGTGTGTGTAGAAGATGTTATTAAAGGTATGTGTGTGTAGAAGATGTTATTAAAGGTATGTGTGTGTAGAAGATGTTATTAAAGGTGTGTGTGTGTGTAGATGTTATTAAAGGTGTGTGTGTGTGTGTATAGAAGTTATTAAAGGTGCGTGTGTGTAGAAG